AAAAGGGACTGCAGTGACACATGTGAGCATGTGGGCAGCAGAGAGAGGGGAAAAGTCAGGACAGGCAGCGAGGTATTGTCTCCCAAAGAACAGAGCTCATTCCACATCTTCACAGACCCAACAGCTGGTGGGCAGGGGGTACTCAGAGGAGGGCGTGGTAGCCACAGAGACTGGTCAGGGGCTTCTGGTGTGTCTTAATTAGGGTTTCTACTGCTGTGAAGAGACACCATGACCATGGTAATTCTTATAAAGGAAAAAATTTCGTTGGGGCTGGCTTACAGTTTCAGAGCTGTAGTCCTTTATTGTCATGGCTGGAAACATGGTGCTGGAGACGGGATGAGAGTTCTGCATCCAGATCGGCAGACAGCAGGAAGAGGATGCCACACTGGGTACTGCTTAAGCATGTGAGGCCTCAAAGAGCACCCCCAGTGACACACTTCCTCAGACAAGGCCGTCCCTACCCCAACAAAGCCACACCTCCTAATAGTGTCACTCCCTCTGAGCCTATGGGGAGCATTTTCCTTCAAACCACCACATGGTGTCAGGCATGGCGTTGCTAAAGTGGGCAATAGTTACAGGCACAAAGGGAGCTTCACAACTGCATGCTTCATGTATCATTGGACAGATCAGAAGGGTGGGATTGGAGCTGGGAGAACACTAAGCCTGGGAGGAACACACCCAAGAAGGAACCAGAGGTGGTGACAGAGAACCTGCTGATTGCCACCACCTTGTCCCTCTGTGTGCAGAGAGGAAGGAGTGGCAACTACCAGAGACAAATGCAGACAGAGGAACTGCTTCCCTAGTCCTTAGGCCACCGAAACAAACGGTGTCTCACAAGCTTCTTGGCATGGTCTGTGATGTGTCACACGGCATTTCACTGCTTCATCAGGAGACAGTGGAAAGGGGTTCCTTGTTTATGCCAAACATTGTATGCAACACCATGTTTCACATCCAGAGCTCCTTGAAGAAAATCTCCAACAATAATGCTCTCAAAGGATTGCTCTCACGATAGCCTAATCTGCTTTGTGTCAGCTGGATTTGTTCTCAAAGATGGACACAGCCCCCAACCCAGGACCATCTGCAGAACTGCACCCGGTTCCAACCAGTCTTGCTTATGAATACCCTACAGAATGTTGAGATATTTTTTAATTGGTAGGTTGTATGATCAGCTGAATACTATCCGATAAATCTGCACATGCCCTAATCCCCAGACACCATTTGTGTCATTCTTACATGGTCAAAGAGACGTTGCTGAGATGGGGACATCCCCTGTATTACATGCGTGAGCTACAAGGATCCCCAGAAGAAAGAAGGAGAGGGCACCAGAGGGAGAGGCTGTGAGCCAGACTCAGAGTGCAGGGATGTTTGTAGAAGCTGCAGGAAGGAACAAAGAGTAAAAGAATGTGAGTGATTACTGACCACAGTACAAACAGGGAGTGGTCAACCACAGAGAAACCAGCTCTGTGGACACCTGAACTGTGCTCAGGAAAACTCGGTTCAGACTCTCCTCCAGAACTGTGACTTTGTGCTGTTTCAAGCCACCACTTTCACTGTGATTTGTTACGGCCACAACAGAAATCTAACACAGTGAACAAAAACTTGTTGTTCTGAGATTTTATATTTCTATGACTACTAGAGCAGGTAGCTTGACTCTTTTCCCTAATGGTAGATCGGGTTGAACTCATGTTTCCATTGTCTACTAGCAAGACAACTCTGCTCACCTCTTTTGACTGCTCCCTTGCCTGTCATCTGCGGATGAGGACAGTACACACATCATAAGCAACAGAGCCAGGAGTAGCTGAGTTCATCTTTGGAAACTGCTGAGAACGGTGGACAGCTCCTCAAATACCCCCAGAATACATCGATAACTTTTACCACCATTAACAAAATTCAGCTCTCTGGTCATGAGACAGAGGGGCTACTGATGCGCCACCAGCGTGAGTAGGATCCTGGGAAGACCCGCACACCACTTCCACTCCTTCAGCCTTGAAACAAGTGAAAACAGTATGCGAATTCTGTTTGGTTTGGTTTCCAAGACAGACTTTCTCTGTGTATCCGTGGCTGTCCTGGGACTCCCTCTGTAGACCAGACTGGCCTTGAACTCAGAGATCCACCTGCCTCTACCTCCCGAGTGCTGGGTTTAAAGGTGTGAGACACCACTGCCTGGTTAATATGCAAAATCTTAAAAGTTCTGTGTCTTTAAAAACTTTTTATGTATTTTACATGTATGAATGTTTTTGCTTGCATGCATATATGTTCACCATATACATGCCTGATGCCCGGGAAGTCAGAAGGGAATATGGTCCCTTGGAACTGGAGTTTCAGGCAGTTGTGGATCACTGTGTGGGAGCCTGGGCCCTCTGTAAGAGCAGCAAGTGCTCTTAACCCTGAATCATCTCATCCCTTAAGCCTCCCTGTGTCCTTTCATGTGTATATGTTGTTTTCTATTTCCACCAAACAATGAATGCAGTTGCCCTTCCCTGCTCCAAGCAAGATAAGAAAGGTGAGTTTTGTGGCTCCATGGATGTGTAAGTTCTGTATTGGTGGTGGGGGAATCTCTGGAAGGAGTTGAGCATACCCCACAGCAGTGTAGGAGCTGAGCACACTCCACAGTAGTGTTCACACAGCCCTAAGGACAGAGGCTAAGAGAAGCTTACTCCCTTACCTGGACCAGAACCCAGGGACTGTGTTTGCTCTAGACTCCCCCTGGTTTAATCAAGCTAACATAAATTACAACTTCCTGGCAAAGAACAAGAATAACCTAAAGGTTGCGAGGGTCATTTAGAGACTGCAGTTTTTAGATGGGACCAACCATCTCTGGTCCTCCCATTGAAATTAAAATGGGTTAGTCCAACAAACTAATGGATATAACCCAAATCCTTCATAACTAGATTTTGTGTGCATGCACACACACACACACACACACACACACACACACACACACACACCATGGTTCACATAATGGACGTCGCTGGTTTAAACAAGTGCATCTCCTCCAAAAAACAATCAAAGGACTGGTCTTCTCTCATATCCAGCTCCCTCCTGGGACATAAAATCCACTCTGTGCAGATTGGGTGTATCCAGAGTGTGAGGGGCTGTGGACAGGCCTGAGGAAGAGTCTTCCCTTCAGTCCACAGAGGACTGTAGACCAAGCTTAGAGAAGCCTCATAACTTGCACCAGAAAAGAAAGAGGAAGTCTGCAGCAGAGGAATTACAGCAAGGCCTGGTGGGCGCAGAGAGACAGGTCTCACATATCAGGTAGCCACCGGGGCACTCTTCTTCATGAAACCTGGGGAGATGTGCTGAGACCTGTTGGAAACTAATCTAAGAACTGAGGGGTCCATTTGTTCAGGATGACTCTGTTGTAAGTCAGCATCCCGAGAACATGGTGAAGTTTAGGTTCTATGCAAACTTTTCCCTCCTGGAGTTCCCTTGCCTCAGTGGCATACAGGAAGAGTGGTGGGAGCTAGCAATGGCCCAAACCCTGCTGTGAGAGGAAATAGCTTTCTGGGGTCTTGGGGAAAATATCTTCATAATTTAAAGTGAGTATTTACAACTCCCTTAACAGACAGGCACTGCCCGTACCCTGGAGCGCCACCCCCCTAGGATACAGAGGTGTGCAGAGTGGATGGTGACAGTTCCATGCTCATGATTCTGAGGTGAGAGAGTTTCAGGGGTGCCTGACTTCCTCTTTTATTTGTATCTTATCTTATTTTATTCTATATTTGTAAACAAGGTCTTGCTATGTAGTCTCGGCTAGCCTCGAACTCACTATAAAGTACATGATGTCCTCACACATGCAGTAATCCTACTGCCTCAACATCCTGAGTGCTATGAGCTATATGTACACCATATCTAGCTATATATTTGAGCTGTGCTATGATGAACTGTGGGAAATGATCCTCCAAGGCTCTGAATTATCCATTCAAATTCATTTTTCTTAGCAAGGGTCAATTACAAATTATGAATGAAAATTAATAATTTGAAAAGATATGTTCTGTAACATGAAAAATAAAAGGCCCAGAGACAGATTTGAGATCCAAGCTTCAAGTGAAGATCAGAGAAACAAAGCAGCCAAGCCAGTAGATCTTACCTCTACCCAGTTGAAATGTCAATCCTGTCTCCAAGAATCCTCACAGGCAAAAGCTCTCAGTTCCTATCTTCTCCTGCATTTGATTCCTTTCTCTACCCAGCCATATCATTCCTGTCTCCACCTCCCTAGTGCTGGGATTAAAGGTGTTTGTACCCTAGTGCTGAGATACCCTTTGTGTGAGCTGTTTCTTTTAGGACTGGATCAATTTCATGTAGTCAGAGTGGCCTTGAACTACCAGAGATCCGTCTATCTCTTAATCCTGAATCGTGGTATTAAAGGTGTGTACTACTACCGCCTAACTTCTATAGTTAACTAATGTGGTTGGCTTTGCATCCTCAGGCAAGCTTTATTAAATCATAAGTCATATATAACCAAAATGTTCCAGGACATGTGGCGCAAGAGATGGTTGGAAACAGTAGGACTAAAGAGAATCTCATGACTGTCATCTCAGACATCTTGGACATGCTATGAAGAGTGAAGGCAGAGTTCATTTCAGAATGGATCATAGCAGGCTGGAGAGATGGCTCTGCAATTAAAATCATGTTCTTACAGAGACAGAGTTCAGTTCCCAGAACCCACATCAAGCAGCTGACAACACCTGTAATGCCAGCTAAAGGAGATCTGACACCCTCTTTTGGACTCCACCAGCAACACACACACACACACACACACACACACACACACACATACGCAAACATGCATGCACACGCACACACACTCACGTAGACATTCATGCATTCATGCACAATTTTTGAAATTAAAATTGAAAATGGATTGGAGTTTTTACACTTAAATACAAGCAAGTCAGACAATCACCAGCTTTTAATTTCTCCCACATTGAAGGACACCCTCCAAGTGTGTGTGTGTGTGTGTGTGTGTGTGTGTGTGTGTGTGTGTAGGACTGTTGGACTGCCTGAGCCTGGGAGATCAAAACAAGATTTTCAGCAGGAGGAGAATAATCAGAAATGGTACTGTTGAGATGGATGTAGGTCGAAGGCCCGTACTATCCGGAACTGATGAGCCAGGTAGAAATACAGGGAAATTGCTCAAGCAGACGGTGTGGATATTTATGCTGTCGAGAACAGTCACATTCAGGTTGCAGGAGCTTTCCGTCGCACAGCCCATTCCAGCCATCACGATGGAAAAGGGATTACTGCTTCCCTTTACTAAGAAAAAGACCCAAGAGTTAGTTTCCTCTCCCCTCTCTTCTGCTCTCCTCACCTACATCCATTGAGAAAGGAAACTATGCTCAAAATGGTCCAGAGTCCATGGCTTCTGCCTCTTGGCTGAGATGCATGAGCCCAGCTCCATTCCATCCATCCAACTTTAGTGTCTTGTGGTCCCATTGTCTCCCCAATATAGAAGAAACCTTATAGGGACCATTGCATCTCAGACACAAGGCTAACACTGGGACTAACACTGGAGTGAATGCATACTCTCTAGGAGAGATGAGCTTGTTGCTCACAGCGAAGAAGGCCAGATGCAGGGTCTCAGTTGTAGACTAAAACCCTTCTAAGGTCCCTGACTTCTCTACCCAGGCTCCCTTGATGAAAATATTGTAGATCCCTCACAACTGACATCTCTTCTGAGGGCTCTAGATTCTGTATAACTACGGAACAAACTGGATGTCTGTTTCCTGGGGTAAACTGAGGCATAAGCCTGTCCCACCGTGGAGGACTTCAACCCTCCTCTGTATTCTGTGACACTCCATTTTCTTTATTCATCCCAACTTATCTAAACAAAGGGCCTTTCCCTTACTCACCCCAGAACCTATCAAAACAAAAAATAGCTTGCCTCCAGATCCATCAAGCTCTCCATCCACCACTTAACCCACTCCTAAATTCCACACAAATTTTCATATTTTGATGAGGATTTGCTAGCTCATCCCCACAGCATACAGTCCAGAAGAAAAACTCTAGAGTTATTTTTGCAATTAATCCCTGAAACATATCTATGCCCCTCACAGCAAACACATACTTTTCTCCTACATGGGAAATTATAAATATTTCACTAAAGTCAGTGGCTTTAAGCAAAACTTGAGTGCTTGTTAATGGGATCTGAGTCATCACAACAGCAGTGATGATGGCTTCTTCAACTCAAGTGTCATCGTTCCCTGCACTTCTGAGTCAAGATCCTAATCCAGAATATCACGGCAACACAGGTGCCCAAACTTGACTTTTTGTGGGAAGCAGTTACATTTGTTCTTCTCTTTCCTTCAGTTCCCAACCCTTACCTCAACTCTTCTGTCAACTCTTTTCTTGGGATAAATGGTTCCATCTGAGGTTTAAAGGAACAACCACACACTTGGTCCTTGATCCATGAGGGAAACAGCTTCTAAGATGATCTCCCCCATCATGCCCATCTCCTGGCAGAGGTGCCCAAGTGTTGGATCTATCTAATCTACCTATGTCACATCTGGGTTAATCTATGTGACTATGAAGTGATATGTCACTTCTAAGTTGAGGGCTTGACTACCTCAGCTCCACCAATTACTCTATGTCTGTCTCTCATCACTTCTCCAAGAGAGAAGCAAGAGGATATGCTATGAGAACACTGGTAGCCTATAAAAAGGCCATAGGAAGAGAAACTGAGACCCACCAAAAGCCAAGAATGAGCTAGAAAGCAGATCCTCCATCTGAAGAATCATGGGCATCTGGCTTACACCAACAACAGAACTCAGCTTGATGAGACATCCTAAGACAGCCACACCTCAATGCTGTTCTCAGTATATAGACATTCAGATACTGAGCGGTGATAAATAGCTCGTTTGCACCTGTTAGGTTGTGGTGCAATTATCTGTGTAGTGATAAATGGCTGATACACTGTACCCTTAGCAATATGAACATCACAATGCATGAATAAATAGTCATACCTGTGCCAATAGCCATAACACACTTTTTCTCAGCCCCCGTGCACTTTCTGATAGTTGGCATATGAAGTGTGCCTAGATCCGAATAGAAGGCAACACATTGAACACCATTGGCTTCTGCGGGCTCCTGAGATACTGAATGGAGAGGAAAAGATGTCATATTGAGAAATAGGCAGGAAACAATAGCTGAGAATATCACTACCTCACTCAATCCAATACCATATAATTATTCCATGACTGAACAACAACAACAGCAAAAATACAACTAAAATGCCATGGAAGGAGGGAACAGGAGGCAGGTATCTGAGATCCTTTGGTAATAATTGTCCACACAGCTGTCTTCGCCTTTCTTTAGTTCCTCATCTCTTTACCATAGCAGGAGACAAGTTCCTAGACATTTGGGAAGGAGATAATTTGCCATCTAAAAAGATGCTGACCAAAGGATGAGGAATTTTAGGGACAGCCTCAGCCTCCCATATATATCAAGGATGATTACTTGACTCTAGGAATTCAAGTCAAGCCCGGAAAACGCAGTGAGACATCAAAAACAAAGATGAAGAATTAAATAGGTTAGAAAAACATCTCAGTTAAAGGATGAGGAGGACACTTTTAAATCACTGGACTCAGAGAAAAGAATGAGTACCAATTCATGGCACTCAGCTATCACTCATTGTCCCACCCAGACAAGAGGTTTCTATCTACACTTTCACTTCCCAAGGACAGGGGCCACAGGCAAAAGGAAAGACGAGCATGCAGCTCTGATGCACCCCAGTGCAGACAGGAGTCCACAGATAGCCAGAGGAGCCACGATGTGCTATCAAGGGTGCAGAGATGAACCTGACTCATATTTTATGTCCTCATGATTGCACTTATCAGTATTATAGCAATACAGATACTATCACTGGTTATATCTAAATATCCGTTGGTCTCCAAGTATTGCCTATAAAGTTGTTCACACACCCCTGTACTCCCAGCTGCTCCAACTTTGGAGGCTAAAGAAGAATTATTTGATCCCAGTAATAAAAAAAGCCTGGATACATGCAAGACTCCATCTCAACAATACAAAAATCCGAGATGAGGAATAAGATGGGTGAGGAAAGACTCTAGACTGGAAGAGCAGAGAGCAAAGCATTTAAACCTGCAGATGCAATATCCTCCTTAGAGAATAGGTCCAGGACCAATCACTGCTGCCCAGCTGTCACTCAGTCTGTGTATGCAAGTATGTACGCACATACCCAAGAGAGTGGCTTGCATCCAACCCAGACCCTTATAAATGAAAGCTTCAAACAGGGAAAGCAAGTGTCAGGCTGCAGCCCATCAGCAGAGAGATGGACCCACGGAAAGGCAGAGGAGCCCTCAGCAGGTGCCGGGGCGCAAACATGAGCTGTACTCACCTGTTATGTCATCTTTGTTGCACTGCTCAGATGTGCAGCAACGGTTTTCAAAGATAAATCTCCGTTGATCACCCAGCGTTGCTGAGAATGACTCATCATTGCATGTGTTTGATTCTCCAACACACCCTTTGTTCTTAAAAATGCGGTCTGTAAACGTAGCTGCAGAAAATTGAACCACCAAGTAAATTTTCCTCCTGAGCTCATGGTAAAGAACCTGTCCCTTCATCCCCCCTGCCTTGAGAACTGCACTTCTCCAAGAGTCCCTCTGCAATGGTTTGTTTCAGAGAATGAACCAACACAGGGACCATTTGCTACAAAGGGAGTGACTGGTGTAGAGTACTTGCTTGGCATGAATTATACCAGAGTTTGATCCTTGACGCTGGAAAAGTAAGAGTGGAGTCACATCCCAATGGTCCTCATCATGTACAATCCAGGTTCTACAACAAGCACATGCTCCATCTACACCACCTCCCAGAACCCCAGGCTCCCACCAGTCTCATCCTGGAAAGGAAGCAAGGATAAACTGGAGGACTGTCAGGGTGTGAGGGTTGGCTTACATGGTGTATCAAATTGCTGCATTTGATTGAAGCAGCCTTTAGAGGCTGTGCAAGAACTTGTACTGCCAGGACATGATGCATCTTCACATTGTTGTACTGTACACAGGTAACTGTCTGCCAGGAGGAAATGTACGTCATTTAAAAGGTAACCCCAGAGCCCTGTAGTTGATGCTTCCTAGCAGTCAAGCTATGAGGGTAGACAGACCACTGGAGTCTCATGTGGTTGGTTACCACCCCACAAGGCTCTTGACTGCTTACCTCCCCCTCCCATCTTTAGGAGAAAGGAATGCCTTGTTTACTCTTACCCACAGAGCAGACAGCCAGGATGGTAAAGACAAAGACTGTGAGGAGACTCTTCAGGCTGCCAGACCAGGCCATGGTGACTTCTGTGAACGCGAAATGAGATGCAAGTGATGGCAATGGGGCATAACTATGGGGCTCAGACCTGTAATCCAGCAACTCACACACCAGACTGTGTTGTTGCCCATGTATTCATTCACTCACTCTTTCTGAGAGCCAAACTTTATGCTGGCTTTATGCTAGATGTGGTCATTTGGAAGGATGCAAAACAGGAAAAGATACCATAGCCTTTATCAAGTCGTGGGGATAGCGGGGGGGGGGGCGGGGTCTTCCTTTCACCCAGGAGGAATTTCACCCAGGAGGGATTCTTCTTGCATAGGTCTGGAGGGCACTAGTTCTCCTTCCACAGTTGAAATGGCTGAATCAAGAAGCCACTCCTCTGGAGAGCAGGTGGAGGCTCTCTATGTGCTAGAAAGTTCTGGGCCATGGTGCTCAAGAGCAATCTGCCCCTCAGCTAAGGATTCACCACTCTAAAGTCACCTTCCCCATAACAGCTCCAACACCAGGTATCACAGCCCACACTGGAAATGCTCACCAAGAAGTAGTCCTGCTGTTCTGAAAGGTCTGCCTTGAGATGGAGATGAAGGCCAGTGATCTCACCAGGGAGAGGAAGAAAGCAATGCTTTCTCTGCCCTCACTGTCACTGACTCTTATATCCCAGAGAACTATTATTGCCTGGCAATTGAGTCACTACAGATAATATTTTGACATGAAGCCAAGTGCGGTGAATTTCCTAGAGAAAGAAAGTGATACCGTGAGAAGAGCTCTTCCTGACCTCTGGTTGGTGGGGAGGGGGAGGAGGCTATGATGATTCTGGACCTCCACTGAGCTGCAGAAGAGGAGGAGGTTATGAGGGTCCCAGACCTCCACTAAACTGCAGAAAAGACTCTAGGCAATTGAAAGTTGCACTGTATAGGATCTTGGCCCCACACCAGTCCCCATTTTTCCTCAGTGAAAATTCCCAACACTCCCTCTCACAGATTGAATTCCTCCTACCCAGAACCAGGCCCCAGGACTCACGTGCTTCTCTGCTGGAGAGGAACTGGGTATGTTCCTCTGTAACATATTCTTTGTCATTCTTCCTGGTTTTATGCAAAACTCTTGCTAGCTTTATACCAGACTTCTTAACAAGAGAAATTCACACTTCATCTATCCTTCTGCAGCTGTCCAGATCTTGATTACATTTTCTCAAAATCCAGGACTGTGTGGCAGGCATGGAGATCAGGAGGAACCCACCTAGGAACCCACTATGTTGAGCATTGAAGAATGCTGAGGCTACAATTTGTCTGCATATGGCCAGGTCAGTAAACATCAGGTCATCCATCTGGAAGATCAAGCTCTCTGTGCATTAGCTAACAAAACACATCACTCAAATTTTGAGGGGGGAGAATGAGTACAACATAATGGTGCACGTCTCTAATCCTACCACTTAGGAGTCAAAGGCAAGCAGATCGTTGTGAGTTTCAGACCACCCTGGTCTACATAAAGACTTCCAGGTCATCTAGGACTATATAATAAAACCCCATCTTAGAGAAGAGCAGGGAGAGAGAGAGAGAGAGAGAGAGAGAGAGAGAGAGAGAGAGAGAGAAAGCAAACATCAACTTCCATAAAGGGTTAATTATGTCTACTGGTGTTTCCTGGACTTTCAATCTCAACACTTATGCTTTGTGCAACAGAACTTCATACACAGCTACCAGGCCCAAGACAGTAATGAGAGGATGTCCCACAGTCAACTCAAGTTCAGATGGTTTCAGCTAAATCCACCAAAAAGAGCAAATGATACAGAATCAGCCATCACTCTTCATCTCTACAAATGTTGGCACATTCTCTTCTTTTTTATAAAAGTATCCATTCAAGTGCTTTATGACCTTTTTTTCCTACTTATTGCCACCTCCCTGGTGTCCGGAAACTGGCAAGAGCTCTCCAGCTCTTCCTCAATTACAGGTTTCTGACCTGAGGGTAGTGTCCTAGTCTTGAACTTTCAAACTTTCTGACCCTCCCTGATCTGTGAACAGGGTGTATTCACCAGTCCTTGGGCTAATGTGGGTGAGCTAATAGTAGAGGGAGACTAAATTCAACTTGTTGTTGGCAAGAAAAAGAGTCCCCAGAATTAACATATAAAAGGCAGAATTCCTGCATCCCAGAATGTAACTTGGTTTAAAAGCACAATATTCCTAGAAATGGGTCAAAACAAGATGATTCCTGTGGGTCCTTATCCAACAAAAGTCAGGACTCAATGGATGCCAAGTACACAGCATATAAAGATAGGGGAAGATGCTAACCACAGTCCAAGAACAAGGACACAGAGAAACCAGACCTACTGACCCTGGATGTCAGTCACACTTCCAGTCTCTGGGATCGTGGGAACAGACTGTGTGTTGTGTGTCATCCTGCTGTGGTGTGTGGTTGTGATGGAGCTTTCAAGTTCATGCTTAGGTAGACTAGAAGATAAGTAGAACAGCTTTAAAGAGAAGTGTGGGTAAGCTGCAATGTGGGAATCAATAACCACAGACTAGTTCACAGGGTCTTGATAAACTCCTATGTCTTTAACGGATCACTCAAACATGGCAGTCTTTGAGAAGCTGACAGCTAAGACCTTGTCAGAGAAACTGGACTTTTTTCAAGTCTGCGAGTCAATGTTCTCATCCCAATGATGAGTGTGAGTCTATAAGTCTATATCATAAGATCTCACCATCCAAACAGTGGAACTCCCAGTGCAAACTTTGTCAAGAGCTCTCACAACTATTCTGCCTCCTCATGAGCAACCATTGTGAGCTGCGGTGAAAGTGTTTTAAGCCGTAAAATCTCATATGTTCTGAAGAAACACATTCAAGGTTTAGGAAACTGGGATGGGAGGGGCAGGTTACGCAGCTGGAAAAAAATAAAGACAAACAATCTAAGCAGCAGCAGCCCTTGGGGTAGCACACACCCCAATGTGATTTTAAGAGTGTCTAGTAGAGACCTGACTGACTTGCAGAATCCATCAAGGAAACTTTAAACTCTATCCACACAAAGGAACTATGTTGAGATGCCGTCATGCCCCCCCAAAATAAATAATAACTAATGATAGCTTCTAGAGTGCTGAGGGGAATATAAACCCGCCTAGCCACTCTGGAAATCAGTGTAGATATTCCTCAAAAACTAAAACTGGTCTGTCATGTGGCCTGGCTATAGCACTCCTTTGGGACACAGAAGTATCTGCACATTAATGTTCACTGCAGCACTGTTCACAACTGCTAAGTCATAGAACCAGCCTAGATTTCCCAAATCAGACTAAAGGATAAAGAGAGTGTGACTGTAATTATTTCAGCCATCATGAAGAATGAATTTATACTATCTGCAGAAAACCCGTTTTGGCTGAGATGATCACACTCAGTGAGATAGCAGCCTCAGAAAGACAAATATCACATAATTTCTTGCATTGTGGGCCACAGATTTTATAGCTACATAGAAATCATACATATGCAGTTGACATGAGAGCAGAAGATAAAATATGTAGAGGAACAAAGGGCTAGTGAGAAGTGGGAGGTGTGGTACGGAAGGAATGCTGAAAGTACATTATACGTTTGCATGGAAATGGCCTTATGTAACCCTAAAAAAATAAAACAGGTCCAATTATTCAATACGTTATTAGAGTTAAATATGTGATACTCATTTGGGAACCATGGCATACATCTTTAATCCAAGACAGGAGACTGAAGCCGGAGGATTGCCACAAGTGTGAGGCCAGTCTACACTACATAGCGAAGTACCAGGCTTGACAGGATAATATAACAAAATAAGATTCAAAATAAAACGCCCTCCAAAACTGTGACAATTGGATCTGAAAAAAAGTCCAATCTCCTTGCCTGGTTCTCAGAGACTAACACAGCTTCAATAAAGGCAGACATGCTCAAGAATTGTTGTTTATGGTATGGAACTGCACTTACACCAAGCTGTGAGCTAGCCTAGAGCTCTTTCATTGATGTCATACGTTTCCAGAACTCCTTCTAAGAACTCTGAATTTTGTTTGCAGCTTGTTTATTCTAGTCTCCTGGCCCATCAAAGCATGAGTTTGCAAGGGCTGCCACCAACAGCATACTACAAAGGGATGGTGAAAATAACAGAACGTATGTTCTCATGATCCTGGGAGCTGGAACTCTGAGATCTAGTGTTGACTGATTCTGCAACACCTGTTCAATTTTCAATGGCTTTAGCTAAATTGAAGAACTTGAGTTCACTATGGAGCATCACCTCAATACTATTTGAGGACTGGTATCCATGTCAACAACAGGCTGAGCTCTATAAAGATGTGGTTAAAGAAGAAATGCTGGAGATTCTAAGTAGATTCCATTTGAAAGAATTGTTCCTTTGCTCTCAGCTTGATTGGTTGGGTTGATTGGCTGGTTAGTTTGTTGGTTGGTTTAATGCTGTTGGACTATGAGCTCTCATCAATGAGACAGTGGCGACAGTTCAAACCATGGGGTAATGGACAGATAGATGTGGGTAGAATGTTGGATGCTGATTCCTAGGTTAGATGTGAGATAAGGAAGCCATGGACCAGGTTGGGAAGGTAATCGGGCTCACTGCAGTGAATGGGGTTAAACTGGGGGGGGGGTGCCAGCCAACTCCAATCCCACCAGTATCTATAGTTGTACAGAACAGAGATTAAACTTCCCCACAATACTTTAAACAGATGGAGGGAGAGCATCTATGTGCAAACATATAAGAGCATTTCAACATACCCTGAGCATTTAGGTCTAGAGCTACTGTAGCAATGTTGAACTTGTGAATTTGACAACTGAAGTGAACTCCAGGCTGTGGTTCTGAACTGAGTGTCATCCAAGACATCTGAAGGCCTGGAAAACATGAACTTCTAATGCCTGAGGCTCCACCTGAAGTCATTTTCTGGGAGCTACCAGTTTGTTTTGCAACCCCCATTGCTCCTTCACACTCAGGTCCTGCCTCCATTTCTCTATTTATTTCTTGTCCACGGTAGACATCATTGGAATTATACATGCTACTGGAGATGGCTCATAAGACTGTGTAAAGCAAAAACCCCAGTCAGCTGAGATATGGAATCTTTTTCCCAGGCACATGACGGATGTTCTCCTGAGGAGGACAGGCAGCACGTTGTCACCTGTCACATGATTGCAACAGCCTCAGGTGCTTCAAGGTACTTTCTTGTTTAACCTGTAGGAACTAAATAATACTAAGTTTGCAGCTTTTGAGATTATTTGCATATTGCCTCACTGAACCTGTTTTTATGGAGGGCACTTAACTGTGGTGGAACCAATATCATTTCTTGCTATGTGTACTACAGCAATTTCAGGTACATCTAGTGGAAACCTCTGACTAAGTTGGCAGGTCTCTGACTATGAAGAAAAGACAAAGTCCCACTGTTTAAATTACTGCTGCAGGTACCATCAGGCACAAGGAACTTCCTGAATCTGTAAAGGGACCAGGGAAGGAGAAGATGTTGTGTCATAAGGAAATAGGTTCAAAGTCAGGTGACATCATCCACTAGACTAAGAGACATTTATGTTTTCTTATAGTTCTGATTAATGCCAGTGTTCAAAAAGGCCCAAAAACTTTCCTGGACAAGGAGATGCTAGTTAGTGTAGGATATGAAAATGGTCATTTGTGTTGCCTGTAGCCTTTCCCCATT